TAGCTGCATAAAGTTAGTCCAGATTCAACATCTAATATTAATATTTGGATGACAATTTTGGATTGAAACAGTGTGGTACAATAAAATGGTTTAGCTATTTATAGAGTATTTTTTTTTTGGAGTCAAAAATTTCTATTTAATTTAATTTATTTAATATTAATAAAATTAAAATTATGTGACATTACCTCATCGTAAAAAAAAAGACTAACTTTATACAAGTTTAAATATCAACATATTAAAACAATTTTCTTAAATCACTAAAAACAAAACTAATTCGTTAGTAATAGCTAGTTTATTCTGATCTACGTGACCATATTTGTTTTCCAAATAATATTTGTTGACAATTTTCAATATTAACGTTGAGTTGAGAACCTATAATAAACAACACAGTAGTTTTTGTGAAACAACACAATTTCTTTTTATAGTCTTTAAAATTTCCCAAAATAAAATAAATAAAAGGAGATTACTGACAATTTTAATATCATCATCATATCTGATATTTAACAGCTTACTCAATATGAATGAACCATCACAACAAAGCTATGGAAAATATAGTACCAAAGTAAAATTTTCATATCCTAAGGGTCAATCTTCATTCCAATTTGGACGTTTAGGAATAGAAGATTCTTACTTGACTGGTACACTCCATCTTCATTTTAATAAATTGTTTGTCAATCGAATTATTTTAAAATTTACTGGCACCGAGCATGTATATTGGACTGAAACAAGAACAAGGAGTATTAGCGATGGGTGTCACACTGAAACATATTCAGCTACCAATATTTTATGTTGTTTATCTACATGTTTATTGGAAAACTCGGATAAATCTTATCAAGAAATATCAAACATGGATTTACCATTCAAAATTAAATTACCAGAAAATATTGCTTCAACTTTAAGGTTAGGAATCGGTAATGTTAATTATAAACTTACTGCAGAAATATCTCGAAAAAGGAATTTTTGGAAATTTCAAGGATCAAGGAAAAATATTAAATGTGATTGTAACATCTTAAAATATTGTTTACTCCCGCCACCAGTTCC